ATATGATAATCCTGCTGCATCTCCACCTCCTGATCCCCTCTCTTCCAACAGCAAATGGCTTCCAAAAACAGTAAGGGCAGATACAGGAGATTTGGCTATGGGCTCTGGCCTGGCAAGCTGTGCTGACTGCAGTTCCCTTTCTCTGAGCATTACTACAGATCTGAAGCAGCAAAATATACGCCAGAGATAGATGTGCTCACCTCAGCCAAAGCAGCAGAGAAGTGATTACAGTTCTTGTGCATCAGGTGGTACGCGTTGCCTTTGTACTCCTTGCCCAGCTCTTCCATAATCTTATCCACGTCTTCTTCTGTGAAGTCTGTAGTGCCCAAGGCAATGGATTCTCTAGTTAAAAACAAAACACACAACAGGAGACACAGAAAGATACAGTGAAGAGACCAATACGTACCCAGGGAAAAGTAAATTATCAGACATTGGCAAGAAGGCCAGGCTTAAAACATGGACGTGCACGTCTGGGGTTATCAGAGACTCTCACTAACAAAAAGGCACATTAATATCCCCAGCTTTCCCACTAAGCAGGTTACAGCACAGCCCCAAGAGCTTCCTGCTTCACTGCCAGGGAAGTGTCAGCTCTGGAGGTCTGCTCCCACTCTGCCCATCGCCCCTCAATAGAAACTTCCAGTATGACAGAGGAAATGATTTTCTCATGATGGAATGGGTTTCTATGGGGTGGACCAGGAAGGAGTAGACCAAGAACTTTATGCAGAAACCCGTTGCATCTCCTAATATTCACTCAATAGCGCTCATCCTTCTACAATTCTCCAACAACCCTCAACAAAACCCAGCAGTGTGGGAAGGTCAAACCCCACTTGCCATGGGCAGTTCCTTGACCCACAGCCCCACAGTCTGAGCACCTGGAGCGACACATTAATGCAGCATCTTCTCAAACTCCTCTAGCAGCTGGCCTGCCCCTTGTGACAGAGTAGCAATGGACACACGAGATGACTTCTGGTACTCTGTGTAGTATCCACAAATAGATCCTACTCATAAAAAGGCTAGGTTTTGTTTATTCCCCCTGTGCACTGCCTCTGTGTATCACATAGTTACTCCCGTTCTTGCTGATAGGTGAAACCAGGGGCACAGAAGACAAAGGAAAATGGGAAAAGAGAACCGCATTACATTTGTAAGTACACTTTCAAACCCTGCCAAACACAGTTCAGCACTATTTCCCGTTTGGTGTACACACTTTTTTATCCACCTCCAAAACTTCTGCAGGGCTGCCTTCGAACCAGGATCACGTAAAGATGCAGCTCAGGTGCTTATGAGAAGAGGAAAGTGGGGACCCAGAGGACAGGAGTTCCCTGCTCCCCTTAAACCAATGGCTTAAACCAGGAGCAGAGGGGAAGATGCAGAAAAGGGCCCTTACTTGAATTTAAAGGTCTCGCCAAGTTCTACCGCACTGCCAGGTGTGATCTCGAAAATCCCACTGAAAGGGTAGGGATGCCCTCCATAGGCAAACTCTGACAAGGAAAGAAACAGACTGTGAGTAATTGAATGAACGCAATGTCAGGAAAAAGTCTATGGCAGCTGTCTGCACGGCTCAGCGTCAGCGCCAGGGGCTGGGCTATTGCCAACAGCGGTTTCAGCCAGACTCTGAAAGCCATTTTCTCTGTCAGGTTACCTATTAGCCTGAGGATGCCCTCACAGCCTCCCTCCGTGCTAACACTACTGCTCTCCCACAGCACCAGGAAAACGCTTCCAGTCTGCCTCTGTTTCTGTCCAAGTGGCTTCCTCTCAGTGGAAAGTGCTGCAGTTCTGCATCTAGAAATACTATGAGAGACTGGCAGTGGTGGTACCCGGCTGGAAGAAGTGTTTTCTAGAGCAGGGAGGGATCAGTCGTCTCCCAGAGGGATTTGCAGGTAACAGCTGGGAATTCTTTGCAGAAAGCCAAGCTGATTGTGCTCATCCGAGGCAGATGAGTCCAGCCAGGGGGTCCCTCTGTGTCATACAGGCTATCTTGCATGGCTTCTGAAAGACAGACTACAGACCTCACCGTGTCATACACGGCGTCTGGCATGGCCTCTGAAAGCTTCTGTGCTCAGGATGGAACATGGTTTGTCAGGGCTTTATCTACTGCATGGCACTGGCTAAAAACACCATGTGTGAGATATCCCAAGTCATTCCCATTTAATGCTGGAGGAGGAAACAGAAAGTCTATGATGCTGGTCTGTCCTTTACTGCACTACAGCTGTTTTCCCAGATCCCTTGACTGCTCCTTTTGCAATGGGTGCTCTAATCAGCTTCAACCCCATCCAGACCATTTCAAAAGTCAAAAGTCTTTTCCTTGTAACTCTGATATTTCAAAATGTTTCCAAGATCTGGAAATCCAGATTCCAAGACTGTACACATTCGCCAAGAATTACTGCAAAATGGATTTACCCTGGCAGGGAATTAGCACAGACATGCATATGCAGGTCTCAAGACAACCACTTATTCATCTCTCTTCCCCATTCCATTATTTCTTCCTCTCTCTCTCCACCTCCTTCACTGCAGAACAGCTTTCCACCATTGCTTGGTCCCTCTTATCAGGCACCCTGCTACACCCCTGCACAAGCTATAGAGGGTGCAGTTATATGCTGAAATTGTGAAGGGCTACGTGGTTCCTAACAGAACTGCACAAGCTGCTCCTGGATTCCACAAATGGACTCTAAAAAGAGAGCTGGCTGAGCTTTTCATTTCTCAAGACATTCCTTGCCCAAAGCTGCAAGTTTGGGGTGCTTTTCCCAGCCGTATGGTTGTCCCCATGTTCTGCGGGTAGTGAAAAGGAAATACTTCATACCTCTGCCGTAGATCTCGATGCCAGAGTGGAAGACACCAATCCCCAAGGTGGAGGTGTATTCATTTATCCAGTACTACAGTAAGAGAAAAGCCACATTTGGAAGCATTAGTGGAAAAGAAACACACGATCTTGGTCTAGGGTATATCCACCATCTCCTGTCCTTAGGGCAACTTCTCTTAAGGACAAGAGCGATTTAGAAATTATCTTGAGACAAACAAATTGAGACTCCTTAGAGACCAAGATAAGTGAGCACTGTGTTTGTACAGCTGCCTGGGTTTAAGTCTCAAAAAAATGCTCATCTACTCCTTTCCATGTAAGGCATTAACCTGTATTGAGATAAAACTGAACCTGAATTTGCATAAACCCAGCTGCTACAGGATGTGCGATTATTTATCCACCTTCTCACTTACACAGCTGACACTGAGCCATTTTTACCAATTCATTTGAACTCCAAAATCTTGAATTAGAAGTTTCCCAAATATTTTCCATACACCTTTTTACATCACCTCCCAACACCTACTTTTTTCTTAAGTTGGTTTTCGGCAATGAGTTCGTAGAGACCGAGGCCCGTTCCCCACCTAGGTCAGAGGAGCACCATTTAGTAATTATGACATTGGTAACTGCTTTACAGAATAATAATAGAAAAAGAAACTCTGAGCATGCTGGTCAACATTTTGCTCAGAGGCATCACATACTATTAAGTATTCATCCAAGTCAAAGACAAATTTTTAAGAGGAGCTCTTATGTGACTTTATTGCTCTGGAGTCCAGCAGTTCTCCATTAGATTAAGAGCAGAGGAATACTGCAGTCTGCTGCATGCATGCGATGCTTCTCCACCAAGCACTGCTCACTGTTTCCACCATACCATGAAGGACACCCAAACAAGTCCCAGCTAAGCTAATTCTGGAGTGGGAAGATGCACAGCCAAGCCAGGGCAGTGCTGCATTGGAGATAATTAGCCCTGCACCGCACCAGTATTTATTAGGTTAGCTGCAGAGCTGTGCTGATACAGAAATTTTCAGGCAACGAGTGGAAACTGCCTCTCCATGGCATATTTACAGTTCACTTACAGTTACCGTGCAGTGAAGATACATCCCTACTAACTCAGAGCAACCTAATTCTTACTGCACTGCAAGAAAAGCGAGTGTTGTCCCCTTGTCCCCATCCAATGGCACGACAGGTTCATTCAGCTAAAACTCTTTTCTGGGTCTCATAGCTGCTTCTGGTAGAGCCAGAATAAGCTGCACCTCCTGGTGTCTGGTGTCACTGAGCTGCCAAGGTATGAGTGAGAACCCCTCTGCTGTCAGGTAACCAGTCTGGCATTCTCTTTTTACTTTCCTCACACTGCTTGCTTATGTATTTTTGATGACTGCAGCAGCTCCGTAAATCACCGAGAAGTGCTTTCTGTGAGATCACTGCTCCCGTGGAAAAATCTGGTAGCTTTGATGCAAAAAGTGCAATCCCAAGCCTGACTTAATGTATGACCAGTCTTGATACCTTAAAACTATGTTCCCTGAAATGGTTGCCTCTGGCAGTACAGCAGTTCCCTTTCATTCCAGAAAATGCTGTAATGCTTCTTGTTCTTCGTGGGGCTTGGTATCACAAATGATGTATTACTGCATGAAGACAGCAAAGCACCTGACCCTTGCTGGACCCCTGCCCACTGCTCTCTTCAGACCTTAGGTAACCTCCACTTACCTCTTCACTTGAATTATGCAAACTCTTGTTTTTAGGATACATCAGAGCATTGGACTGGAGCTAGGTCAATAGTTCTCAACCCCCGCCAGCGCATTAGCAGTGAACCCTCTGTTGAAGGTATCTAGGGACATGATGTGTCCTTGCCATCTGCTGCCCTTCACAACTGATCTCTGTTGTCCTGTCCTCTGCAGCAGG